TGGAACATGGTCAATAATTATAAATGTTGTAGGAACCTGCTCTTCATGAAATTGTGCCTTGTAAAACTTGATTGCTTCTTCTGCCATAGTTTCATTATCTTCTAACCAATTCCCATCACTGTTTTGTATTCTCTTAAGTTGTAACCTTTTCCTTCTGCCATTTACCTGCGCGTGAAAAAATTTTGTGTTTCTATCTCCATCTTGAAACCAATTCATTCCTGCCTTTTGTTTCCAAAACTCCTCCTCCAAAGCCAAATATCTGATCAACTCTGCTTGTACCTTCTGAAGCCTTGCTCTATTCTCTTGTGTTGGATTCTATTCGAATTGAGCTTCATGTACTAATACCACCTCTTCTAAACTTGCAATCTTCTGAAAATATCCCCATATGTAGCTCTGCTCCACAAAGATAAGGCTTTCTTCATCTTCTTTAATTTGTGATTAAACACAAAAAATGGATTCCCAGCAAAGTCAGCAGTCTAGTTATCCCTAACAACTTCCTTAAAAGTTGGATGCTTAATCTAGAAATTTAAAAATCTGAATACTTTCTTAATTGGCACTGCTGTAGGATTGCATGTGAGCAGCATTGGAGAGTGATCGGATCCTATTTTTGATAGATGAGTGATCTCCACTCCAGGCAACATCTGTTGAAATTTGATGTTAGCCAGACATCTATCTAATCGTTTAAATATACAATCCTCCTCTACTCTTCCATTCCACCAAGTATAAATACTTCCTTTAAATCCCAAATCAAATAAGTTACATGTGTTGATACAATGCCTGAAATCATTGACTTCATTTAGAGACACTGGCAGCCCACCAAATTTTTCTTCTTCATCCCATATAACAAAATCTCCAGCTACCAACCATGGAAAAGTCATATCTCTAGCTAATGCATATAAAGTATCCCACAATTCGATCCTTTCTATCGAGTCACATTTTGCATAAACCAATGTGACAATGAAACTTATTTGAGTGTCCATATTGGTCAGTTTCATTGTTAGTTGTGGTTCTAAGTCAAAAATTATATCCACCATATGATCTTCATTTACAAAGGCCCATATTTTATTATTGACATTAGCAAAAGCTTGTGTTAGACCAATCCTTCTTCTGTATCTCTCAAGCTTCCTCTTCTGCTGCATAGGTTCCATTAGCCCAATAAATTGAAAATGTTGCTGCCTATTCATAGTGACAAGCCTTTCAAAAGCTTTCTTTGTATTAACCGATCTCACATTCCATATGATAGCATTCGTATTTAATTATGAGATTTAGTTTGAGCCCTTCTTGTTTGAACTCCTCCTGTTTGCGCAGTCGAAGCCTCTTTTTGCTGCTTTTTTCTTCCACGACCAGCTGATTTTACCTTGTCTAGTACCCTTGGAGATAAATCTCCTTGCTTGGCTATGTTGAGAAAATTTTGAGCTGTAGATTCTTCATCAATATCCTTTCCAGTTCTGTCCAAATTCTCCACTACTTCCTTAGTATTTATGTGAGCTTCAATATGAGTTCTCATAGGTTTAGGAATTAGAATTTCACCTCCTTTTTCCTTCATAGCATGCTGCTGTAATTGAGAGTTTAGCACCTGATCATTTTGAAGCCTATTTACTGCCAATCCCTCTTCATTATCTGCAATGATGATTGTATCTTTGTTCAGCTCATTTGCCTCATTCCTCACCACTGTTGCATCACCCTTAGTTCCTCCTGGATCAACTATAGGGCTAATAATTGCTAGTTGCATGTTCTGCACCACCTTAGGATCTGATTGTATCCTTGCATTGTTGTCATCATCACCCTGCATTGGTTTTGTACCAGTAGATTCCTTGGCCTTTCCGTTAACACTTTGTTCTTCTTCCTCCACCTCTTCTTCAGTATGTAAATCATCTTCCTCCATTGCACCTGAAATTTCCCCTTCTTCAGAATCCTCCTATATCTGATCACTCCACAGTTTTCCTCCACTTAGCTGCAACCTCTCCTTTTCAGCAGGTGCTTCAATTGACTTTGTTGTATCAGTAGTTTGTGTATGAATTTCCTGGCAAGATCGATTAGTAGCCACTAAGTTGTCACCTCCAAAAGTCGTGTTTACCCATTGAGCAGTCGACTCCTTTTGCACCTTAGGAGCACTACCATTCCCTTTGTCATTAAAATTAAAAGCAGGTGCCTTAGGATTCAATTTGTTAGCTGACTTTGGAGTACCATTCCTAGTCGCACTAGGAGATACAATAGGGTTGCGATTATCATTACTGTTTTTCACCAATACCAGCTGGTTATTATCATGTTTATCTCCCTCATCTACTTCAAGGACAGCAAACTTATTTGTCACCTCGACCTGCTGATTTCCCACAGTTGGCTTCTCAACTGGAAATATTTCCTTTCCAGTTTTAGTTTGTATTTGTTCCTGTTTCCCAGTTTTCTTTACTCGATTGTCTCGCACTTCTTTCCACTGTTCACCTATATTTCCCACAACTTTACCACTGCTAAAAATTATCAAAGGTTCTTGTTTCTCCCTTGATCATTGGTACCCTATTGCTTCAAATTTGCTGTTATATTAGTCTGATCAATCTGTGTCACAATTTCATTCCCAGTCTGTTGCTCCACTGATTTATTCTCCATTAAATGAATCCTCTAACATTCAATCATGTCATGGATGTGTAGTTTACACTCTTTACAATATTTTGGCAAGTAATCATATTTAATGGTTACCCATTCAGTCCTCACGACTCCACTAGCTTCATTCTCGATGTCCATACGGACCTTCTTAGGTAACTCGGCTAGAAGGTCAACAAGAACTTTCACACGCGCACAACTGGGTCTCGTTTTATTAATAGTATCCATGTCGAAGTGAAGAGGCTTACCCACAGCTAAAGCTAATGAAAATAGGCACTCCTTGACGAAAAACGTTGGCAACAAATTTGGAAACGAAATCCACACCATTACCTTTGGTGTTTCCTCACCGGCCTTGAATTTTGCATCATAAATCAACGTCCTTAATTGATATTCATAGCCAGTCTTGTCTTTTACATAATACACACTCTTCGCCGTAAAATCAATAAAGTCTTACCATAATGTCAATCGAATTAATACATGCATGTCGCGAAGGTATCCAATATTACACTCGCCTTTAATTACACATTGAAGAGGGACAATTCGACGTAGTTCATTAAGCTCCGGCCATCCATATGAGAATTTACAAACTACTGCATATTGCAATCCTTCAATCGCATTCATTTGCTCAACCTCTGCTTCAGTAAACTTAACAACACGTTGTCCATTAAGCAAACTAGCTCGGCGAAGTGCAATTGGTTCAACAGAATTGGCTCGTTCTTGCAGGGCACTGTTCAATGTTGAAGTTTTCAGGATTTTCGAGAAATCTAAAGGCTGGGGATTGGATTCTGTGGTCGTATTTGTTGGGGCGATGAAGGGAGAAGGCTGACCAGCCAGAAAAGAGGGCTGGCCGCCGGCCATTGTGGCCATTGAAACTCAAAATTTCAGATTTCCGCAATGAACAGTAACTCGCATGCCACTGTAGCATCGGCTCTTGAGAGAAAAAATTCTAGAGAGAATTTTTTTTTTT